TTTGCTCCAGAGACTTTAAACGCTGTCACCCTGCATTTAACTCCTGCCTGACTGCCTCATTCTTTCCAGGACAAAGGGAGTTTAACAGTGAGCCCTCCCCCAGGGTTGAGTGCATGACCTCAAGCCTTGCAGAAGAGGCCAAGAGTCTGAGCTGCTGTCTGTGACTGGTCTTCAGTGGGTGTGCACCAGGTGAGCTGGCCTGGGCCTGAGTCATCAGGTTGGCACCAGGGGACATGTGGGTCCCCAGAGATCCAGACTGTCACTCCTCACAGTGGCATGAAGGAAAGGGAGTGGGTAGATAAGAGGCTTGCTCATGGTCACATGGGCTGCTCCATCTGACAACCCCAAAGCCCATGCTCTTGGCCACTTGGATGAACTCAACCCACCCCCACCCCACTCCCCAAGGAATTAAAGACACCAGAGAAACCACAAGTTGCCTGTTCCCAGGCACAGGAAGGAGACACTGAAACATACACACACACATAGGCACCCAGACCAAATTCCCAGTTTGCCATCACTGTTCTCAACCAGACAACAAATGCAATGTTATTGTTCCTTAAAAACAGGGTGGAACAGTTTTGCCTGAGCTTCTTGGTTTGGATCCAAGTTGACGGTGGACAGAGCCAGGACCACGTTTCCACATTATACAGGTGTTCTTGAAGACTCTCCTCTGCGGCTCTCAGAGACGCCAGCAGCCATCAAAGAAGAGGAAAGAACCGTTCCTGGAATGGATGCTGGCCTAAGGGCACTCCCATCACCCAGAACTAGAAGCGATACATGGATCTGAAGATCTTGGCAAAGGACTGGGCCTCCCCTGGGCTGGTAGAACCCTGTCTCCAATGAGCATGGTTTTGCACAGGCAAGAGAGGGCTCGCTCAGCCACCTCCCCCAGACACATCTGTACAAGGTCTCCACTGCCTCCCATCTCCCTCTTCCAAGTCAAAGTTGCTCAGTCGTGTCAGACTCTTTGCGACCCCATGGACTATACAGTCCATGGAATTCTCCAGGCCAGAATACTGGAGTGGGTAGCCTTTCCCTTCTCCAAGGGAATCTTCCCAACCCAGGGATCGAACACAGGTCTCCCACACTGTAGACAGATTCTTTACCAGCTGAGCCACAAGGGAAGCCCAAGATTACTGGAGTGGGTAGCCTATCCCTTCTCCAGTGGATCTTCCTGACCCAGGAACTGAACCAGGAATTTTCTGCATTGCAGGCAGATTCTTTACCAATTGAGCTATCAGGGGAGCCCTCCTCGAAAGTGGCACCATTTTTGAAGTTTTGCTTGCTTGCTAAGATGTTTCAGTCATGTCCAACTCTCTGTGACCCCATGGGCTGTAGCCTGCCAGGTTCCTCTGTCCATGGGATTCTCCAAGCAAGAATACTGGAGTGGGTTGCCATTTCCTCCTCCATGAATCAAACCAGCATCTCTTACACCTCTTGCATTGGCAGGTGGGTTCTTTTACCATGAGTGCCACCTGGGAAGCCCCATTTTGAAGTTTAAATGATGATGAACGACACTGGCCTCCAATCCCTGCCCTTTACCAGGGAGGCCCAACCTGCTTCAGACATCAATATATGAAGGGTCTTCAGCTGAACAACCTAGAACTCAGAAGTGAGGCGGTATTCCTTCAACACCCCCAACTTCCTGCCCCAAATCAGGACAGCAGACAAGCTGAATGAAAGCTCCCCGCCCCTCCCAAACTGCAGATGGAGGCTGCAAAGATGACAGTTTCAAACGCATGCTTTCAATTACCAGTGATACAGAGAAAGCTCTGCAAGTAAATCCTTTCCATTTCCACCACCAAGCTGAACCCAGAAGCTTCCCATCGATGTCAGACCTCTCCAAGGTGGGGACACCTGGTCCAGGATGCATGCCAACAACAGGGTTTGTTCTACACGTCTTTCAAGAAGTACCACACCTACGATCACGATTCAGAACCAGTCCATAAACACTCCCCAGGCCCCAAGCACACATCCTCAAGGAGAAGCTGTCTGTCGTTCACCGACGCCCGTGTGAGAGGGACCCAGGCCTACCCCGAGCCTGCCCACGGGCATCTGCCCGCTCATGTGTGTGTGCACGGGATCGTCTATCTGTACGTCTGCAGCCCACACACACGCGTGCATGCGCGCACACGCACGCACACACACACACACAACCAGGCACCGAGCAATCCATCTGTCTCGAAGAGCCGGCTGTCAGAAATGAAAGTACAATCTCCTGGAACCGAGTCACAGCCTTCTAAAAATGTGTGCCGTTTTCCCAGACTGAGGAAACTTGCAGGGGTGGGGTCTGTTTCGCCGAGTCCCAGAGGCCCAGGCCTGTGTCTCACCGGCCAGCCCTGCGCTGCGCGGCTGGAATTCCAACCTGCAGCCAGCGGGCCGGCTCCCAGCACTCCTGCCCGCCCACTCCCCTTCCTCGCAGGAAAGGGAAGGGCCAGCCTTGGAGTCACCCCGGCATCTCAGGAGGGGCGTGCCTTCAAGCATACCCCCCACCCCCACCTCTGAGGCACCACGTTTTCACACCACTGTTTTTCCTTTCCCTTCTTCCCCTGCCAAGAGAATCAAGCCCTGGCTCCCGCTGCCGACCTTCCTCCCGCCCTAAACTGAGCCCCATTCATTAAGCCCGCTCTCAGCCAGGGCAGGACAGGAAGGAAAACAGCACATGGGGGCCTGTGAAGGAGACACTCAGAGAGGTGATTTCCAGGGGGAGGTGGGGGCAGGGGCGTGTGGGCGCTTTTCCTGCGCCCCACCTTGATGCCCACTTGGCCTAGCCCTCAGCACGGCAGGCACGCCCCCTCCAGCCTTCTTCCCCTGCCTCATTCAGCCAACGCACCCCCTCACTCCGCAACTGGCCTCATCCTGGCCACCCCCACCCCTACCACCCCCCATGGAAAGATCAACTTCTTGGAAAGGAGGAGGTTTGGGCATTCTCCATTTGCAAAACCCTCCACCTTGGACCTGGGCCACTACAATCATCTTTTGCAGGGGGGAGTGGGGGGCGGGAGAGGGCATTCTCACTGCAGAGATGGGAGCCCTGGGTTTTCTCAGCGCCCATCGCCTCCCCTCCAGATACCCCCAAACCACTGGCAACAACCCAAGAAACAGTTTCTTCAATTTCCCCCCACAGCACATTATTAATAAACCGCTCCAACTCTGAACGGAAAGAAGAAAGAGCTCAAACTTTGAAGCCTTGGGAATTAGTAAATCAAGAGCTAAAATTCAAAACAAATGCTCTTTCATGTGGAGCCCCCCCATCACTTTTTTTTCTTTTTGCAGTTCCCTTGAACCATGCTAGCCCTTCAGAGACAAGCACTCCTTCCTAGCAGCTCCTCATTCATCGAAATGGCTGCAGTTACTATGGGGGGTGGGGGCTGGGGGGGGTTCATCATTGCTTTACCCCCAGTTTCTTTCCAGGACTAGAAAAACTCTCGGAAGCCCACCCATCTCAGAAGGGGCTGCACTGTGACACTGTTTGGCTCTGGGGCTGGGAAAGGAGGCTGGTGGCCCAGGCTGGTGTCGTCACTTCCTCCAGCAGAGAAGACAGACAAGATGTTATCAAGAAGACAAACCTTCTGAAAAGACCCCTTTCAAAAGTTACCACTTCCCTTGCTTATTTCATGTGGTTCGGAGGGGCTGGGACTCCTCCTGCACATTCAGGATTTAAAAAATAAAACCATCTAACAACATCCTGAGCGCGCAATTTTGCCCAGACCCTTTCCTCCTCCTTGGCCTTCTTTCTTTCCAGAACCCTCTCAGCCTTAGAAAGCAGAAGAGACGCAACTCATACATCCCTGTATGTTCTTCCCTCCTCCACCCCCATGATGCACGCTCATCCTCACGCTCCCTAGCCCCCTGCCCTCTCTGGGTTCCTCTTTTTTCCTGCTCAGCTCTCATTAGGAGCTTTGAATAAACAATACCCTCTGTCTCAGATAACAGCCAGAGTATATACTGTGCTGAAATCAAAACAAACAAGGGTCTCCCTGAAGACATTCTCGGCAAGATCAATTCCTGCAGCGGGAACTGGCTGGGAGGAACCGAGACCGACCGCTGACCAGTGAGAAGTCCCCTCTCAGAAGCGTTTTACAGCTTCCATCTGAGCTGCCACGATCCTACCTACGCGGATGTCCCAAAAGCAAATGCCCAGAACCCTACTGGATTCTCTTTTCTCCCCCAGGTTGCTTTCCCTCTTGTTTTAGCTAGTTGTTAGAAAATCCTGTGATGGCATGCATACTGGGGTGGGAAAAGCAGGTGGAAACAGGACATCTTTAGAACAAAATGGAAATGTCTCCCACTTACATTGCTAATGAGCATCTCCAAGTTTATCACTCTCTTCTCCTGTCTCTCAGGGATAGGGATGCTCGGGCTACCCAGTGCCCCTCACCCAATTCCATAACCCTCCAACCGGGGCAAATTCCAGGCCCCTTGCTCACACCCGTGGGTCCTCAGGGACACCTTCCCTGCCGGCTCACAGTGTCAGCGCCTACCGTCTGCAGTGACCCATCCATCCACCCCCAACACGCACTGTAGACTCCGGCCGGAAGCTCGACCAGGAGGCAGGATGGGCAGGGAAGCCCCGAGGTCATCTTCTCTAAACGCCCATCCTACACCCGGGATCTGTCCTCTACAAGTTTCCAAACGATGGATCCCCTCCTTTCAAGGCACCTGATGCACTGAGAGAGCAAAGAGAAGAGCTTAAACCCAAGAACTAAGAACACCAGAGTCACCAAGCGGAAGCCCCTCCAGCCGGGAGCTGCTTAACAACAACCAAGAAACACAGCCCACACCCTTGCGGCCCCCATTTCCACATCTATGAAGCGGCCCAGGACCTCGAGCTGAAGGGCGACGGGAGTCAACGAAGATACATCCAGTTTAATGCACATAAAAGCGCGATTAACTCCAGACCAGCTGTGGCGGCAGAAGGCCACCTCCGGTCCTCCAAAATCTCCAATCATTTCAGGAGGCCTTGGAATCCCCGGGAAAATAAGAGAAAAGCGTCTCACCTGAAAGCCCCCCAGGGGCCAGATAATTCGTTCCCCCTGTTTCAGCGGAGGAAGGCACAGCATCTGGACAGTCTGCTGTGGATTTGAGAAGGAGAGAGAAATAAATACATAAATAAATAAATAAGTACACCAAGATTAATTTTTAAGCACATTCTGAGCAGCATTAAAGAGAAACCACACATTCCAAACGGCTGACTCCCAGCCGCGATGCTGATTATTAATGCGATGTTCAGGTTTGCTACCCATCATGAGACAGACCACAGCACCTTGTCACCCGTCTGGGCTCCGGGCAGCCAGTTAATCATTCGTCAAGTCAGACTCGATCACAGACTGGCTGGAATTTTTTCTTTTATTGCAAGTCCTCCATTGAGGAAACCAGGTAGTCCCCAAGGTCAAACAAAGGAGGCCCGGGTTCCCTCCCAGCCACCTTTCTCGGAGAAAGATCAAGGGCATGGCCTCTTTGCTTGGATCCAGTGGCCCTCGCCACCACTCTCACCTGTTTATAGACAGACTTCCCAGTTCCTTAAGAAAGGGGTGTTGGGCTGAAGGGACTGTGTTTCCCTTTCTAATAGCGGTAGAGTAAGTGCAAGAAAATCTCAAGTACAACTCAAAGAATCTTATTCATGTACACACCTGGGTGATGCCCCCTCAAGTCAAGAGAACAGAGAACATTCTCAGCAAGACTCCCAGCTCCTTCCAGACCTAATCCAAAAACTTCCCTTGTGTGGAAACCTTCCCAGGCAACCCCAGACCTGCAAGGTTCCCTGCCCTCCGTCCCTATAAAAATCTTTCTGGCACCCAGCACTTGCGGAGTTGCCTTCCACTGTCTTTCCTGATCTTTCACCTTCAGATCCTGTCTGCCTGAACTAGTCTATAACCTTCTCTTCAATGTCTCCGTCACCCTCCGGTGCTCAGCATAGTGACCTAAATGTTAATGAGGATAATGATGATTCCAGCTGAGAAATAGACAGACTCCACAACCTCCCTCCAAGCAATTAAAACAAAAAAATAATGGCTACGAACCACAACTAATTAGTCCCATGAAACAAAAATACACAAGACCCCATAAGTGTATCGGGCATCACTGCCAATGCCAAACTTAGGAAATCCACAGAGAAAAGGCCAGTCAGGAAAGGAGCATCCTGGCTCCAAAGCAGCCACACCGCGTCAGATGGTGCAAATCCCAGACCCTCCTTCTCCAGGTCACTAGCAGGACGTCCATGGAGTGTGCATTACCAGCTTCCCACTGGAACCGCTTAGCCAAGATGGCAAATAGGAAGCCAAGGGAAAGAGGAGCCCAGAGGCAAGCAGCCATGGTGCTTTCCAGGGACCTAGCAGCTGTCTCCATTCCCTGGGTAAAATGGGGCTGGGGCTGGGCCTGCCCCCCTCCCACCCCATCCCAAGTCTCAGGTTCTCTCTCTAATCCTGCTCTTGCATTCTCTCTCAGGTTAGAAGAACAACTTTCCAAGAATTCTTCTCCACAGGGGAAGGGTGGGCTGAGGAGTGGCAGCATCAGGCAGGGGAGACAGAAAAGACCATGTGGGTAATCTCATTGTATCAGGGTAAAGTTTAATTCCTAACAGGAATATACAGTGTTACAGGATACACTTAATCAAATGGAAAACAATAGGGGCAGGCAGGAAATGGAGTTGCTGGTTAAAGCGTGTATACCCTGCACTTTCCAAACTACTCCGATGGCCTTCACCCTGATGGAGAGACAGGCTCCCCCCGAAACGGAAGACACCCCCACACATTTAAACACGATGACTTCTCTGCAGCCAGCCCCTGCTGCCCCCAGCTCTGGCTGGCTGAATCCCAGGGGCAAGGTGTGTTTCAAAGGAAGAGCCCGACATCTCGGGGTGGAGCTGTGACCGTGATGAGGGCTGTCAGCCGGCCTCAGATCAAAGGTAAGCCAGCTCCACACCGGCAACCACAAGCGTTTCTATGAAATGGTGCTCTGCCCTTTGTGCAGCGCCTTTGATCTCAGGAGGGATTTACAAACATTAATTAGGTCTCCCTACCACCTCAGTGAAGGAGCAAGGTATACCTGTTTGACATGCACCCAGGTAAACTGAGGCGTCACTGAGTAGCCCAAGGGGCCACCCGGTGAGCTGGGCCCTACCCAAGGGTTCAGCCCTCTCCTCCCCAGCAGGCCTCACTCTCTTCCCTGCAGGTAGTCGGGCTGAGACAGTCTTCAGCATCATCTAGGTCCTGCCAGGATAGTAAAGGGCCAAGAGGCCACACCTCCGTCTCTCACCCACAAAAAAAAGAGCTTCGCTGCAATAGCTCTCCCAAGTCAGGGTGTCAGCTTCTGCTGCTCCCCAGAAGTGCTGGGTTCTGTGGGAGACTCATTTTCCTCTCTCAGAAGCACGAGAGCCCTTGAAGACGTGTGCCTGGAATGAGCTGCACAAGGGATACAAAGTGACAAAGCTGGGGACCCCCTCTTCTCTCAAAGAATGGTTTCCCGACAGCCAGCATTGTCTTGTCAACTTAGTTCTGAGCTTCCTAAGTATCATCTGGCACAGAGGAGTCCCGCCACCACCACTATACCCTAAGCTCTGCCCCAACCTACATCCCTGGTTACAGAACAAACCAGTGCATCGGAATCATCAATGCATTTTAGGCAGGCACATCATCAGGCCTGTAGAATGACTGAACGAATGAACAAACCAATAAATGAGTGAATGAATGCATCATCTAATTGCTTCGATCATTTCTAGATTTAAAAACAGGCCTGCAAAACAGCGGCCTGAGTTAAAAAGTAGATGCAGGGCAAGGTCTCAGACTAGGCTTTGGAGGCCTGACCTGCCAAGAGGCACTGGTCACCTGGGTCCTTTGCCTAAGCAAGGAGCATATACCCAGCAACATCACCCCTGCTCCCACCCCAAGACATTCTTCAAATAGTTCAGACCTTCAGATACAGAGGAAACAGGAAACAGAGCCCACACAGCATCCCCACTCCATAAACTGGGATCTCATCCTAAAAGCCTGCTCTCACCCCTGGTGTGATAACGGTGGAGAGGTGCCATGATTTCTGAAAGCCTCATGTCACAGACACCCTGCTCCTTCATTCAGCCATGGCAACCGCCCCTTCCCAGAAGATCCTGCTGACTTTGAACCACCTAGCACTCAGGTCTACCAAAGCCAGGCCATCCCAGAGGCTGCAGTGGAACAGCTTGAACTATAGCAAACTGGAACACCCAACTTTTAGCCCCGGCATTCCTCCAAACGCTTCCCTGGGGGCTCACTCCGTAAAGAGTTCGCCTGCAATGTAGGAGACCGGGGTTCGATCCCTGGGGCAGGAAGATCCCCTGGAGAAGGAACTGGCAACCCACGCCAGTGTGCTTGCCTGGGAAATCCCATGGACAGAAGAGCCTGGCGGGCTACAGTTCATTGGATCGCCAAGAGTTGGACACGACTTAATGACTAAACCACCACCACCAGTTCCTCCAAAGGCCGCAGAGGGACCAGGCCCCAACCCCTCCCCACCGCCTCTGCCCATGCTGGAGACTTCGCAGAAGAGATTCCCTTAGTTGTGCAACTGGTTAAGATTTTAATAACGTTCCATTGTAAACCTTATGGCTGGTTCTCACCTAGTAACCCAAGGCCAAAAATTCAACCTGGACTCGGAAACTTTACAATGTGAGCAGCTGATCTAAATTCCGCAGCCAAATACTCTCCGCAGTGTACAAGGCAAAGAGAAAGCTGGGGCAGCATCTCATCTGTGTGGCTGACCTCGGTGCCCCTGGCCAGTGCAGCCAGCAAAGCCAGCCCTGGCTGTCCTCCAATGTGCCAGGAGACTCCCACGGGGGCTTTCATTAGCTCCCTCATGTCCTTACAGCAGGATGGTACTTTTCATTACTTTTTTTTTTTTTAATTTCAGGGTTTGCTGGGTTTGGGGTGGGGGGGCTACTTTTCTGTTTTTTGTTGTTGTTTTGTTTTACACAAACGTTTTGGGTGAGTAACCAGCTGTCTGAGTTTCCGATTGGCAGGTTAATCACTTCCTATTGGCTGATCCGGACAACTTTTCTCCCCCTTGGAAATGGCGCATTCCTGTCTTTGTGGCTTCTCTGTTTACACACATTTTGCTACCTAATGTCAACACTTGCTAATGAATAAATATATCACTCCACTCACTGAAAATGAGGTCCTGGCCTAAGACGGTGAGTGCTTGAATCCGGTGGACAGAGCTATCCACTATCTCTGCAGGAAACCAAACAGAACGTGGGCCTTCTTTCCTATGGTTTTAGGAAGTTTCTCTCAGAACAGTTCCCCAGTCGTCTTTAAGCCTGGGGCCAAGATGACTGGGCTCTCTCTCTCTCTCTTTTAAGGAAAACCTCCACATTTGAAGACTACGGAAGGAAAAACAAAAAGCAGGAGAGAGAGGGCCCCTTGGAGAACTAAGCTCATAAAAGAATTCTTGAGTCTTGATGCCAAAAACCCAGTCAAGTTACATTCTTGGAGAAAACAGACCTTGGTAATCTCAGTTAACGTTTGTTACAAATACAGAGCTGGTTTATCTCCTCATTAATGACCATTTATCTGGTGTTTTGTAAATCGAAAGCAAAATATCATATGCTTCGCAGGCCACTTATTAGACAGGCACCAGGCAAGCAGCAACGCCTTCCGACTGGAGGGAGTGTGGAGTCAGGGAGGGCTGGCTGGAGACCATGGGCTTCGCTTACACCATTCATTAAAGTATTTAATTTAGGACAACGCCCCAGCAAAACTTTTAATTAGTGGGGGGAAAGGCCCAACAGCCAAAACTCATGAGGCGGAAGGACCTGTAGAATTCCAAGAGGAAAATGGGGCCCAACCCTTGATTTCTCCTTCTCCCAGAACCATGGCAAAATAAGACTGTCACAAGCACTGCATTTCTCAGGCCCCGGTAGAGACCACAGTTACAACTCAGACTTGCAGACACAGGAACCTCCCCGCTGTAAGAAGGGGCTCCAGGAAACAAGGACCCATCGGATCTGCCTCCCAGCTTTGCGGTCCCTCCTCCCACCTCCCCTGCACTGCCAGCCAGAAGCTGAATGCAGACAAACGCAACAGGGCTGGTGCCAGCCTCAAGTGGGGCTTCTGCCCTGGCTGAATGCCATCCAGTGACAAAGCGACAGGCAGGCAGAGCTATGCTAAACACTTTTATGGCCCCCACTAGGAATTCTGAGAAAACTAGGCGGGGAGGGAGTTGTTGCCTTTACTCCTTAAATTTTCTATTCTCTTGCCCCAAACCGAGGTCATCTTTACACTTTTCTAAACACAGTCTTCCTTCCCATCGGGCTCTCCAGTCTCCCCACTGATACTTCTGGCACTCAGAGTCTCCCACGTTTCCCATCACCCTGTTCCATTTGGCTCCCTAGACACTTCTGCATGGACCAGAGTCCACGCGTTGAGTTGAGCCAGCTTGGGTTATGGGATGCAAATACAAGAAAAAAAGGAACAAAATGGAAAGCATACCTAAGAAACATCTTTGCAAAAAGAAAAATATATATGTACACACACACACACACACACACACTACCTCCAGCTCCAGTCACAACAAAAAAAGAAAAAGAAAAAAAAAAATCCACCAAACTGCCAACAGAGGAAACCTATAACCACCTCAGGGCAAGTCCAGCGTCTCCCCAAGCCGCTGCCTAGACACACAAATCCGCGTTCTACAGCCTCCATTTCTAACTTAAGACAGGAAGGATATTTTTAAAATCAGCTACTCACCAGTTGGTTTGAGAAAATCCATCGGGTATCTGGAGTAAGGAGGAGGGGGAGACTCTGGAATTAAAAAAGAAAGAGAAAATAAAGGCCGAGCTCTGAGAGAGAGAGATAGAAACTTATGATAACAGAGGCATTCTTTTAGCCCAACTGTTTGTCTTAGCTGTGGGGGTTGGAGGCAGGGCCGCGAGGCGGTGATTGCCTTGATATTTAGCTGTCAGATAAACAAAAGAGGCCGCCTGGCGCCAGCCTCGGCGCGGCGCTCCTCCACGTCTGCGGCCGCCGCCGCCGCGCTCGGCCGGCCCGGCTGCAAACCGCCGGCTCGGCCGCCGCTCGGCCGGGGCCGCCGCACGTCGCAGTTCACGGGGCGGGGGGCGACGAAGCCCCCCTCCCCCTTCGCGTCCCAGAACTTCAGACACTGCTCCCTCCGTCCCTCCGGCCCCCGCCCCGACCCGTCCCCCCGGGGCGCAGTTCATCTCCGCCACCGCCGCTGCGCCCCGCACCCGCGCGGGGAACACGGGCTTCCCCCTTGCCCAGCTCCCCCGGAAGGTGCACCCAAGGGCTCTGGGGAACTTGGATCGGTGGGCGCCCGAGGGGCACTCCGCCCCCGCACAAAGAGGCAGAGAAAACGGATGCAATGGAGAAGCCTGGAAGCATACAGGAGGACCCCGGGGTCTCAACTGAGGAGCCCAGAGCCCAGCGCAGTAGTCTGGGGGCAAACCATCCGACGGTCGGTTACAGGGCTCTCTCTCCTGCGCTGATAGAAAGTAGGGGCACCCAACTTCCCCTGATTGCCGGTTCTCTCTCACACCGGGCTGGAGGAGCTGGGAGCAGGTACCCAGCTCGGCCTCCTATCCTGCTCTCTCTGCCTCAAAACCCAAAGCTGCGCTGGCCAGGACAGGCTCCTGGCCCCTTGCGCCCGACGTGACGCTCCCCCTCCCTTCCTAAAGGGGAGTCTTCCTCTCCAGCCTTTACTACCGCTTCTCCGAGCCTTCCTTGGCGGGCTTGGACCGAATCCAAATCGGCCACACACCTCAAAGCAGTTCTCCTTGCGGGGGAGACGTGACCCCCTCCCCCCACTTCTCTCTACACCCCCTTGGCTGATCCGGAAATAACCCCATGCCTGCAGAATGTGGGCATGAACGAGTAGGGCCCTGAGCAACACCCCCCCCCCGCCCTTGGGGCCACCGAGGAGAGAAAACTGGAAGGGAACCCCGAGGGAATGCCTTTCCAGTTTCCCCGGGTCCCCTCTCCACCTTTGTCCCCCAAATCTCCTCCCAGGAGGAAATGTACACACACCCCTACGGCGAGGCGGCTGCACTAACCCACAGCCCAATCGGGCTTTTCTTCCCCCGACCTGAGTGCCGGGGGGAGGGTGGGGCACGCGCGGGTGGGCGCGGATCAACTTCTTACCTAGTTCGCAGAGTCGGCTAAGGTGATGGGGGTTGCAGCACACCAGCTCGGGGTTGATCTTCCCGTAAGATTCACAGCAACACAGCCTCTTGACTTCCGAGGAATGCCTGAGATCCGGCCACCTGAACACTTTGCACAGCAGGAGGGGGAGCGAGTAGGTGGAGGGCGGCTGCGCCGGCTGAGAGCCGGCGGGAGCCCCCAGGCCCAGCCTGCAGTCCAAGCGGCCGGGCAACAAGAGGCACGCGGTGCGCGTACCGCCGCGGGACTCCACGGCCTGGAGCAGTAGCTCCAGCTGCCGTTCCTTCAGTTTCTTGAGCACCGAGTGCGTGAGCGCTTTCAGATCCGCCTCGCCTCCCCCGGCCGCGCCGGCGCCCGCGGCTGGGGGGTGGGGATGGTGGTGACCTTTGGCACCTCGCACCGCCTTGCCCAGGCAGCAGACAGCCCTGCCTGCGCCGCCGCCGCCGCCGGCCCCATGCGCCCGGCCGTCCGTCGCCCCTTCTCCCCGCAGCTCGCCTCCTCCTCCGCCTCCCCCTGCGCCCTCCTCCTCGTCCTCGCCGCCGGGCGCACGGCTCCTCCAGAGACGCCGGACGAGCGCAGATCGTTTGGTCCTGAACATGCGGGGCGAGGAGGCGAGGAGAAAAGTCGTTGGCCGGCTAAGGAGCGAACATGACCTCCGCACACCATGAAGAAGTCGGGCGCCGAGTTGGGGCAGCAGGCGCAGGCGACAGCAGCAGCAGCAGGGGCCCTGGCAAGAGCGGCGGCGGCCCGAGGGGCGCTCCGTGGCATGCGCCAGTCTCCCGGAGGCCGGAGCGCGCGCGGGGGCCCGGGGGCGCCCGCCGGGGCTTGGGGGCCTGCGCTCCGGCTGCCCCACCCCGCGCGGCCGGCGCCGTGCGCCGCTCTCGGGCCCCGGCGCACCCCGGAGGAACGCGGCCGCCGCTTCCCTGGGGGCGGCGAAGCCTACCCGGGTCGGCGCCTCCCCAAAAAGAGGCCCCCCCGCAGCGGCTCCCGAGTGTCGGGCTCGCCAGCCTCGGCTGCCTACATGGAAGATCCGCGGCGGCAAAAAACGAAAGGCGTTCGGCAGGGCTGCTGGAGGGAGGAAAAAGCCTCTTTCCCCCTTGCTAAGCAACTTAATTTGGGGGTGGGGAGAAGCAGGCAATTAAAAAAAAAAAAGCAGGCACGCGATTTATTTTTTTCTTCTATATCCTTAGTAACCGGATCTCCTTGAATTCCGTGCACACGAAGACTCGGGGGAGGGGGCTGAGTGGACTTCACCCCACATGAGATGTCTGGCGAAATAAGGAGGCTCTCTCAAAATCTAAGAACCAAACATGCAAAGCCCCAAATGAAAAACACCACCTCCTCACACCCCGGAGGTCTGGGGGCGTCCGGCTGGAGCTGGGGTTTAAAAAAAGAAAATGTTTACAAAGTAGAACGAGACGTTTGAGGGGTGGAAGAAAAAAAAAAACGTATCCACGAGTTACATCCCCCTTTTTTCCTTGCAGAGCCCCGCTGGTCTTCCTCTCCTTTTCTTCTGCCAAGAAAAAAAAAATCCTATATATATATTTTTAATCCACAGAAAGCTTTGGCTAGGCTGCTTCAATCCTTCGCATTTGGGTGGTTTAGGGGAGTCTCTGGCCTTTCCTCTTGCGCTCCCGGGGGCCCCGGTCGTCGGCGGGGACTTCCTTGGGGCTGGCGGGGGCGCAGGGGCAGAAGATGCTGCGGCGGCGGCGGCTGCGCCCCGCGGGGCTGACAGCGCGGGGGAGGGCGGCACGGCGGCCGCGGCGGGCCCCTGGCGGGCGGCGCGATCTCGCCCTCTGCTCTCTAGCGCGGGGGCCGCCGGCGCCCCCTCCCCGGGTTGCGGCTGGCCGCCGGGGCTCCCTGTAAAAGGCTGCTCGCCCCGACTCGGCTGCGGCGGCTGGAGGCCCCGGTTGTCCCTCACGCCGCCTTCTCCGAGAGACTCTCCTCGTCGCGGCCGGGAGCCTCCTCGTCCCCCCGTCCGCCCTCTCCTGGCACTCGGGTCCTTCTGCCGCCGCCGGGGGCTCGCCGCGCCGCACTCAGGGGCTCCTGGGCCGGGCGCTCGGCAGCTCGGCGCCGGCGGGCTGGCTCTCGTCTCGGGCAGCTCTCTCCGGCGCGGCGAGCGGACCGAGCACGGCGCCCGGCTGGCTCGGCTGGCGCGGCTCGGGGACAGGCTCCTCCGTGCGCCGAGCAGGCGAGCGAGTGTGCCCGGGGCTCGCCGCCTCCCGCAAGGCCTCCCGCCCCCGCCCCCTTCCCTCCCCCTTCCTCCCCTTCCCTCCCCCGCCCCCCAGCCGCCGCCGCCTCCTCCCCGTCCCCCCGCCCCCCCCCCCCCCCCCCCGGGCCCTCTGCTCTGCTGGTTCCACTGCGCAGTGGCGCGCCCGGCTCCGGCCTCGTCACGTGGCCGTCTAGACACCCTGTCGCTTTAAAAAAAAAAAAAAGCGATTGTGTTTCGCAAACAACAGATCGGGTTTCTAAAAGCTATTTCTCCCCCAACCCCCGCACACCACCCCCCGGCACCGCCACCCCCCCGCCACCCGCCCGGGTCTGCAGAGGGGGGACCGATATGGGGCGGGGGCGGGGGCGGGGGCGGGGGTAGATAAAGGTGGGGAGCAGAGAAGCTCCCGGGATCGACGGAGACCTGGCGGAATCAGAGGAGAAATGGGAAGACCCAAGAGCACCGATCGGGCATCGTCGGCGAGTTTTGGAGCGAAGCGAGCGGGCCAGTGGCCGGATTTAGACCCAGCCCGCGGAGCCTCGCGGGGGCTGTCCCGCGCGCGCTCGCCCTAACGCTTCATTCATTCGTTTTGTTTTAAAGGCCCTGGCGACGGATCCTCTGGCCGCCGCGCGGGAGGGAAGGGGGAGGAGAGCGCTGTCTCCGTGTAAAAGACATTTACACCGGACTGGACCGAGGCCCTGGGAAGTGCGCGCTGAAGGGAACAGCCGGCCCGCGAGGGCCGGGAGGCGGCGCGAATGTGACCTCAGCGGCGGCCGCGCGCTCCCTCCCGCCCTCTCCCGCTCCGGGCTCGGGTTTCTAGGACTGCCTAGAGAAGTGTGTCTTGTGCAAAGCTCTGGAATGCATTTGGCTGCCTGACGAGTTGCGAGGGGCAGCATCTTGCCGGGAGGTGGCGGGGGTGTGTGTGTCGGGGGCGGTGCTCGCCCGCCCGCCGCGGGCAGGTTTCCTCCGGAGCCCGGAAGACCTCCGCCACTCCGCCTCCCGGCGCGGGAAGGTTACCTTCCGAGCAGACCTGCATGCATATGCATGCGGGGCCTGTGTCTTCGCCTTCCTCGGCCCCGTAGCTTTCTGCGGTGCTTAGAGTCGGAGAGTTTATCCCCTTACCCCGGGCTTTAGAGAAAGCGTAGACCCACCTGGCCGACTGGTGCATAGACACTGTAAGGCGTTGATGGGGCAAAGCACCAGATAGAGTTTACTTCGTGAAAGCGGTTGGTGCTGAGAAGCGTCATGATTTAAATGTATAAGCGTCAGTATCGAGGAGGCCACTAGTTGGCATGGTGGTCTAACCTCACATCTTATTCAGTGAAATAGTTTTTTTTAAAAGTCATTTAGAATTGTGAGGTCAGGATGACACTCAAACTCACTGGGGATTTTAATGAATTTTTTTTAATGAATCTTTAAAAAAAGGTGAAATGAACTATTTTCATTTTCTCAGCTAAATTATGCCCATTTAAAAGGAAAAGGCAAAAAAAAATAAAAAAAAATAAATAAAAGGAAAAGGCACCAAAAAAAGGAAAAAAGTAATAAAAGGAAAAGGCACTGATGAACCTCAACTCAGCCCCTTCCCTTCCAGCAACTTAAAAGCTGACCGCATGCTATAGATGCTTAATAGCTATTTAGGAGTCAACAGGGTTGGATAGATAGGTATTTGGACCTTCTCCCCCTACCCCAACCCACCAAGAGCACCTTTGGAGAAATGTGATAATATAATATTATACATCATATAATATATAAGGGAGAAAATCATTATCATCTCTAAGCAAGGGGCCCTGAAGCTCATTGACCTACAAGAGCCAGAAATGCCAAGCAGGGCAGAAAGGTGTGGAACAGGGCAGCAGCTGGAATTCTAAACATTTATTCTGTAAGCCACATAGGCTGCAATTGTATAAGATCATGGTTTTGTTACAATTAAAAATAGTGCTGGGCTTCCCTGGTGGTCCAGTGGCTAAGACTCCATGCCCCAATGCAGGGGGCCTACAACTGATCCCTAGCCAGGGAACTGGATCCAACATGGCCTCAACTAAGAGTTTGCCTGCCAAGACTGAACGATCCCACATGCAGCATCTAAGACCCAGTGCATAAATATTTTTTTTAAATACATAAATTTAAAAAATATATATTGCTTATTGAAAAGGGCATTGAGACCTGTGTGTTTGTGTGTGAAACTTTCTGAACAAGCAACCTACAAAGATAGCAGCAGAGAAAGCCCAGGAGAAAATGGGTTATCCCACTATCATAGGCAAAAGAGGTAGAAATGGGATTTTGGAGGTATCTGAGAAATGATACACTCACCTCAGAAAGGCTTAGAAAGAATGCCAAACTAGAAGTCAGAAAACCTGATTCCTGCCTGGGACTCTGCCATGCGTGCGTGCTCAGTCGTGCCCGACTCTTTGTGACCCCATGGATTGTAGCCCGCCAGGTTCCTCTGTCCATGGGATTTCCCAAGCAAGAATACTGCAGTGGCTTGCCATTTCCTTCTCCAGGGTATCTTCCTGACCCAGGGATCGAACCCACATCTCCTGCATCTCCTGCATTGGCAGGTGGATTCTTTACCACTGAGCTCCCTGGGAAGCCCCTGGGTCTCTGCCATTCACTGATTAAATAACTTGCACTAGAGGTGATCCTCACATTAGAAGAGCACTTGGCAAGATTTAAAAAGGTTTCTGGGTAAGTTTCCTACTCTCTCAGGGCCCCATTCCCACTCTCTGCTCTGGGCATCGCTAGAAGATGTTCACTTTCCTGGCAAGGCTACGCCAGGCTGCAGAGTGACAAGGAGGACTTAAATAAGCAGTGAAAGCAAAAGGCATAATTCTGCTTAAGCTTCTTGGCTACACAGAGAACCTGATGATTCTGGGAGATCTGGCCAGTGGTGCTCACACTCTGGGATGCGAGGCTGAAGCACACACAGGGCAGAGAGATTTAGTGGGTGTTTCAGAAGTCAAATCTGACGTCACAACTTGTCTGGGAGGAACATGCATATACTTGCAAAGATATGTTCCCATATAGTGTAATTGTGGGTGCTTTAATTCAGGCGTCACTCCTGTCTTACACTCTCTGCATGGCTTTCCTCCTCCATTTTACTGTCCTAGGTAGACAGTGGGTGGGTTGCTGGGCAAGTACCTACAGTGGCTGCTGCTGCTTTATAGCTCCTTGGCATCCCCTGAATCAGTTAACATCCCAAGCTTTCCTGAGAGCCAGCCCCACCCCGTTCACATTCTTATTCTTTTCCTTTCCAAGAAAGAAGCTGGACTGTAGAGGAACTCCTGGCTGGCTAGTGTGCCTAGAAAGGGAGTTCCTTTCCTTTCCTTTCCATGGGCACAAATGAAACCAACAAGCACCCAGTTTCAAACTATTCTAATCCTTAAAAA